AGGCTGCCAGTGCCCGCCCTGACTCCCTGCCTCCTTCCTGCCTGCCCTGACCAACGTCACAACATGACAAATCAAATCACAAGACTGATAACAACAGCCACAGACAGGACACAACCCAAATCTACTGTACAGATTTATATAACTGTAACACTTTGGACTTTTTGGACTCTATAATAGTAGTCATCATTCTTTTTGTGTATGCATCATAGTGTGTGTGTGTGTGTTTTCCTGTGTGTATGACAATAAAGTGTTTGACTAGTGTCAGTGCAGCAGACATATCGAGCTCATAGGTGTCTAGACTGTCACTTATCTGACATGTTGGTCATATGCTTCATTATTTTATGCCCCATTAAGGCCTGATGCCACATATGGCCCTCATCTTTATGTGGGTAGTGTATTTACGCATAGTGGTGGGGGGTTGCTTTATAGCATGGCCATACCACAAATCAAACTCCCATCTGACTCCCATGAGAGGCAATGAAGATATATTAAAAGAAGATCGGAGGAGAGCCAGCAGTAGGAATAAATTCAGAGGATCACACAACAACACAGCAGCAGACTCAGAGACTGGGAGCTCTGGCTGGATTGACAGATTCCACTGAAGGGCAAGGCCACATCACAACGCTCCCTGCAAGCACTCCAGTGTCCCAGGGGGAAAAGAGCTGCATAGCTGTTTCTATAAGATTCATATGCAACAAAGCCAGCGGAGATACAGAGAGGGTGATAAATTAAAGACAGACAGAGGGAGCGAGGCATGCAGCGAGACAAAGAGACAGAATGATGGTTGTTTATGGTTGCAAGGCCTCCGTCTCTCACTCCCTGTTATTTGCTGGGTGTAGTTGAAAGAAGAGCACGGGTGCGTGTGTGTGCGTGTGTGTACTGCTTCTATTTTGGCCGTTTTGGTTGCGTCTCTCCCCACAAAAATACCCTGAAATGCCTAAATTTGTGTTGCTTGTCATAAATGTCCTGGTGACCCCCCCGTGACTGCATGGCGTACCGCACTCACCTCTGATGTTTTCCGAGAAAAGGGAGTGGAAAAGGCAGTTTGATGTAGAGGGCAGCTGCTGGCAGCAGAAAACTGGAGCTAATTAGCTCGATCCATAAAGAGACCGGCGGAGACAAAAAGTTCTTGGGGTTGTAAAGAAACTCATGACTGTGTGTGTTTCTCTGGGTATGTGTGTGTGTGTGTGTGAACAGTAATCTCTGCTCTCGCTCCACTGAGCTCTTGCTGATAGCACACTAAATCAGACAGCTCTGCAGTGCTGGACAAACTCTCGCTCTTTTCCCCTATCCCTCACTCGCATTGGCTTCCTTTCCTCCCCATAGCTCTTGTTCTAACACTCCGTCTCTCCTCATTCCTATCACCCTGCCCCCCTCCACCTCTCCTCTGACTTGTTCCACTATGTCTGTCATCCCTGTTTCCAGCTACATGTGATTATTTCCCTTTCTTGATCCATTTCTCCTTGCCTCTGTTCCTCTGTTTCAGCCCATCCGTCCTTTATCTGTCCCTCCTTCCTTCACTTCTTTCCTCTCTTCAGTTGCTTTATCTCACATTGTTCTGCAGCCGTAGCCTCCCTGTGACAGAGTGCTGCTGACACAATGCCAAGTCAGCAGCCGCATGCACACACACACACACACACACACACACACATAGACACAGCATGCATGCATGTACAGTATGTGCATGGAAAAGCCAGCACACACACAAAAACTTCAGGTTGAGCTCCCAGCAAAAGGTGCGGGTGTGTGCGTATACTCGTGCCAGATTAAACACATGTACACACACACTGCCAGGTCAAATTGGCTTGGCCCAAACTGTCTGTGTCCCAGGGCTGTGCAGGTGGGAGTGATGTCATCAGAGCCTGAGTCTCAGCCGAACAGTACATACAGTCAGTACAGCCAGGTAAAAGTTTTAAATAGCCTTTAAATAGGCACTCAAATATACAGCCAGTGTTCCTATTACATCTGTGCGCCCGCTGGAGCAAAGACGTTGTTCTCACATCCTAATCAATCTAAAACACATGGGTTCACACACGCTCACAATTAATAGTGAGCTTTACACACATTTACATTCTGTGTCTAGGATTTCACCAACGCACCGCTGTTAATTTTCCTATCTTTCCCCTCGCTCTTTGAGCCAGGCTGCAAATCCCAGAGTGAGAACTCTGGGAGGAGAAGCTGGAAGGACAAGATAATGGGCTTTCCATGGAAGGCTTTTGGCTGTGTCTATGGAGCAAAATGCTTGGAAATGTCCTTCCCATGTCATTCTGGCTCAGTCACACAGGAACATGCACACGATTTGAGTGTGTGTACAAACACACAGACACCAGCATGGAAGAGTTTAGCACCCTGATACATGTGCCCTCCATAAAATAACCCATTACTGTACCAGAAACAAGATTGAGGTCAGTAAGTCAGAGCCTCCTCTATTCACTCTTTTCTGTGGGATCTCAAAAGAGCACTGTAACTGTAAGAAGTGTGTACAGTGCATGTTCTGGATTCAAACAATATTAAACAGTGTCTTATTTCCACTGGACATGCACACACACAATCTCAAGATGGATGAACACATGAACACATGATTTAAAGGACTCTACACACTTACTTTGACACTTGAGTGCCTGCGCAGTGATCTGACAGCTACAGGCGTCACACCAGTCCGGCGCACAAGGACTGGACTCGAACCGGTGCCCTTCACCCCTCTCGGTCCTCACCCGAGGGTCCAGCCCCTGGGGAAAGATGGACCAGGCCTCCCTGCGGGCTGGCTCGGTGCGGGCCAGCTTGACCACTCCAGTCCTGCCCTGTGTGAGCCGCTCCAGCGGGAGACCACCGCTGTCCCCCTGTGATGGCACGGGGGAGGAGATGCTCTGTTGTCCGCCGTCACCGGCCCGGCTGTTCCGTCTCCCGCGCGGCGCGTCCCGGTCCCGGTCCCGGTGTGCTCCTTTGTGTCCATTTGTGATGGCTCCGCTTGGCATGACATTGATGCCCGACTTCTTGTGCGAAGTCCCCCTCCGACCACCTGTGTTCCGGTTTGAGTCACAGTCGATGTTGCTGTTACAGTCACTGTTGATGTGCCCGGTTTCACTTTCTTGAGACCCGGCTGCGGTGCGTCTGTCGCAGTCCGCGCTGCCCTCCGCTCTGCCCCGGTCCGGGCTACGTGGCGCAGCATGGGCGGCGGGAGCTCCGCATCCTTCACCGGGCATCACTCCTCCTCTCACCGCCGTTTCTCCGGCTGGTCCCGAAGACACGGAATGAATCCCCGACTCCGCTTCAGTAGTGACCGACCCACAGTCCCCTCCGCTCCCCGAGCTCCTCCTGAACATCTTCTCCCAGGACGACTTCCTCAGCACGGTGATTTTCTTGCCGCCGCCGACGCCGCCGGCCAGTTTGAAGAGCAGCGGTTCCGTGTCCAGCCTGTGCGGACCCGGGTGCTGCCCCACCACACTCACAGACGCCATTATCCCGCTCCCCTGTAGTGCGTGTGTGTTTGGCTGTTAGGCGTGTGTACTAGTGCGTGTTTTCACTCCGTGCCCTGAATGTAAACTCAACTCACGCCCGCGACAAGCGTGTAGTAGTGACGCAAGAGATCTGACAGCTTTAAAATGCCACGAGCGCGCTCCCTTTAAAGCGACAGGCGCGCGCACTAATCCCTCACACTGCAGGCTCTATTTGGCATTATTAGATGAATTATTAACCACTAATTCAACGGATAACAACACTTAACTTCCTGATAACTCATTGTATTTTGTTAGCTCTTTTATCATATTGCTACTTGGCCTTTAGTCTACTCTAAATGTATCAGTAATTATCTTCTGAAACCACTTATATCAAAGACAGACTACAGAAAGTACTCAAGAATCTCAAAAGAAGAATCTGGAGGATAAAAATAATAAGGATATATGTTTCCCATTTAAAATGCCTATACTATGCCAAGCTTTTCAAAACATTAAAAAGCAATGTCTCTAATACAAAGTACCTGATTTTGACAGTAGAAGATCAGCTACATGTAATGGCTCAAATGTAATTGGTACAGATTACTAGTTACCATATTAAAAACTGTAATAATGAGGCTAATATAACTATTTTGATTATCACTAACTTATTACATTTGATTACCTTTCTTACAACTGTTTTACACTGGGCAATAAAGCTGAAAAATATCAGGAAATAGGCAAGGCCAACACAAGACATTCTGGCATGGCAAAAAGATAAAAGATGCAAAGCAACAGAATGAATGTTATATTCTATGTATAAACTTTTTTTAAACACAAAGAATATATTTGGATGTATGCTTTTGTAATAATGGCTGACAATAAATAATACTAACTACAACTACATTTATTTTGTAATTTAATGACATGTAGCTTGTTACTCCCTAACACTAGCATTTTCACTTTTCCTGTAGGTGCTACAGAGGACTTGGACAGAAGTGCTGTCTCACTGTTGAAACTACATATTAACTCATTAAAATGACGGTATGAAACAGGATGTATGGCACAGCAAGATTAAGAACTGGGCCTACAGTTTGTATTGAATAACCAAGAAGAGTCTAACTCTTGTGATAAACACAATCTCACACTTGTTTGTGTAGGCCAGGGACAGGAAAGTTATCAAATTTTCCACTTTGCCAACAGCACGTCATATGAGCTGCTAAAAACCACAGAGGCAGTTGAGCTCGTCCCCCTAACTAAAATGAGAAAGCCCCCGAGGACGCCCGCGCCACTCCTACGCAGACTGAGTGAGAAACTTTCAATTTCATTCTCTGTGCTTTGCAGTGTCACAACAACTCGGCTTGTTTTCTACTTTGTTTGAGACCTTTCATCGTCAAAGCGTGGTTACACCTACCCACATCTAACTTAATGTTAAAGTAATTTGAGTACAGACTGAATGTGACAGTGTTCTGTTGTCACACAGTCATGACAAACTGACTTTTCAGAACATGGTGATTCATCCTCACAGAGGTATGAAGCAGCTGTAGATATACAAGAGGGGACATGAAATGGTTTTTACTTTTACTTTTCTATCTTTGTTACTACTTCCACTGAGATAATCTTTCAATCATTTCACAAGACAAAACACATGAGACTAAAAACATGGCAAAATAGTCTTTAAGTAGGACAAAAGTATAATTGTCAATGTCCTCTGACCTTGTGTATCACCTGAGATCCCTTTATAAACAAATAAACCCAGGGATTTCCCCACCACGTGAACCACACTGGCTGGCTAATGTCATTTCATAGCGTTAATTTGCCGTACGGTGTACTTCAGCTAAAAAGGAGACATTGTGGTTAGCACTGGGTTTCCCTGATTTTGTTTCTTCTCTTTTACAGTAAAAACCTACGATAAAATACAAAAAAATAACTTATCATTCACGTTAAACATCAACAGGAGGAGAGACAAATGTCACTTCAAAGCAACAGTGCTGTGTGCATGGAGAAGTTGACAATCAATGATGTAATCAATCACCATTCACTGAATTTACAATGATATTCTTGAAGTAAACCTAGAGATCAAGTCACATGAAAGCATTTGAATGATCAACCATTATGGGGAAAAGACAGCAGAGGTCTCCAGCCTTCGACAAACACAGACAGAAGACACGCAGACATACACAGACGGAGAGATATAGTGTCAGTCTGGTTAAATGAATCATTTAAAGTCCTCCAGATTCTGCAGTGCTTCTTCTGTGGGACAAAGAGGAAACAACTCTCGAGCAGCTGACTTGGCATTCATTTTGCTTTTTCCTGATGGTCCATCACTGTGGCAGCCTATTAGAAATACAATAACACTAAAGGCATTAATGAGGTTTGTATTGAGCTGCTGAACTCAGTTGCCAGCCACACACACACACACACCACACACAGATATACACACTGAGTAAAAATCCATCAGTGACGTTCCCTCCTCCTCTCTGTACATCTTATCTCTAAATTGAGATCCACATTTTATTGATTGTCTTCAGCTGCTTACTCTTCATACAGCACAGGCTGCAGCCGGTCCTTGAAAGAAGATCCAGCATATTGTCCGTAACTGTTCATGAGTGGCAGCTAAAAGTAGGTGCTTCACATAGAGTTTGTGTGTGTATTTGTGAGTAAGATGCAAAGATGCTACAGTTTTTTCACAGTGTAGAAGGTCTGGCCAAGCTCGGCTCCAGAGGTGCTGCAGAGTTCACTGTTCCCAAACTATAGACAAAACAATTACAGTCAACATCATACGTTCTCACCTACGGTATGTGAGGTGTACGTTTTGACTAATAAAGGAAGTTGGTCTCAACTAACCTCTCAATAACGCTGTTGTTACACTGTAGTTCCCTCACCAACATCTCCATTTCCTCCTTCAGATGGTGCATCCTGGAACAAAGGAAGATATGTTATCAGGGCAACTGGACAACTGTCTGTATCTTGCATGCACACACACACACACACACACACACAAAGACACACCTAGAGACCATCTGGTCCTTGTCCCTGGGTGCGATTCCAAACTCTTGTCCCACTTGCTTGGACTGTAGATTGATAAGCATAATGTCCAGAGCCTGAGGAGGACAGATGAGACATTACACCACTGAGATGCTGAGTGAGTGGCATCACCAAGTAATATTCCCAAATCTAAAAAAAAAAAAACACTCATAAAATATCACATTACTTTCTTATCAGTGAACATGTCTTTGTGCACACTGCTATGTTATGTCTGATCTGAGTTGCAGAGACAGATTTGCAACATGGAAAAAGTGAGATGTTGACCTTATTTTGCTGCTGCTCAGTCATCTCCAGGTCTGCCAGTAAGCCTATGGAAAAAGACCTGAAGTCCTGCAGGCGGGTCTGCATCTCCAGTAAAACACTGCACACACATCAGAGAAATGGAAATGAAAAAATGTTATACTAAAATGTTAGTCAGGGTTCCCCCATCTTCAAAACACCAAATTCAAGGATTTTTCAAGGACTTTCTAGGCCAAATTCCCTCACATTCAAGTTATTAATTACCTTTTTCAAACCTAAACAATACTTGAACCATAATCAACTTTCTTAAGCTCACATGTTAATGAAGGCTTTAAGTTACCAAATCTTCACCGCTACCTTGGAGAATTGGTGGGAACGTAACATAATTATGTTTGTATTAGAAGCATTTGGTTGCATGTATCTACACACACACAGTCGAACCTGAAAACTCTCCTGCACCACTGCTGTTTACACATTGCACTGTTCTTATTAGGTATATTTGAAATGAGGATTATCTATTCATGTAATCAGTTAAATAGCAGCTCTACTGTATGTTTCCACAGAAACAAAATAAGTGACAAAAAAACAAACAAGAAGAACAAATACTCTTTTTTCTAGATTTAGATCAGGTCACACCTCTCACATCATTATGCACAAATGTGAAGTGTAACACAATTTTAGTGCTTCAATATCACTTGCTAAACAAGTGTGAAGTGATGATTACTAATGTAGACTACTATTTTAATCTGTTTGAGAGGGACTGTTTAATAGCAATGTCCTACTGTCCTGTGTTAATCTCCTACATATAAGCTTCCATCATCTCATCTGTGTGAGCGGCTGTCAAACAAACAGTTACTGTAAATAGTCATTGTGGTCTGGATAACACAGCTGAGGTGAATCTGCTGTGTTTGGAGCAGCTCTGACCTGCTCCAAGTCCTCGTCGAGGCCAAAAGCTCTTTGTATCTCTGCACACAGTCCTCTCTAAGGAGAGATTTCACTCGCTTAATGTGGGACGACAGGTGGATTCTGGGACAAGAGAAAGACAGGCAGATTACAGGAGCGCTCAGAATAACATCCTTCACAGGCTGGGTGAGCAGGACAGCAGCTGTGTGGACACATACTCACTTCTCAAATTTGTGGATTTGCTCGTCGTTGTATGCCAGCTCTGTGGTGAAAATAAGAAAAGAGTAAGATATTTTACTATGTACAAAAACAGCTATAAAAATCCAGCATATACCAACAAGGAAACATACATACTGCCAGTTTGTCTGTCTTTACGATAATGCTGATGAATTGCTGTTATCTTCTTCAGCAGCATCTCCATCTTCTGACAGCTATGGGAGGAAAGAGGTCAGAGTTCAAACACCATAAACCCATGAGGCCACCTTGATGTTTTGAACCCCTGCCTGCCTGGAGTACCTCTTGTCATTGGCCAGTGTCTCTGATAACTTAGCCTGTTCAATCTGCAGATGGTCCAGTCGGTTCTGAAACTCTTTGATTCCAGCGGCATAAATAGGCAAGTGCTGGTTGACCTGTAGAGAGAGCAGCCACAGACTCTGTTAGCTGAATCAATAGATCACAAATCTGCCACAAAATAAATAGTTCACAGTCTATAATCCTGGATTAATTTACATTTACAGCATTTCAAATTAAGTGAATTGAGTCTAGCAATGCTGCACCTCTGTCAGTTTAGTCTTTTGGTGATATTGATGGTGCAATGTCTAATTCAAATAATAATCTAAAAGATTTTAATTTAAGTTAAAGCTGCAATCAGCGATGAATGGGATCTCGCACCTTCACGCACATCGGGTGTACTGGTGGGACACCAGCTAATGTAGCTGTTCATTTCAACTTAAGTAGGGTACTGCATGCAGGGGTGAGATGGTATTTCCTGTGTAGAGTGTGGGTGATTGAGTGCTCTATTGCACATATGGTAGCACTTCAGGTGTCCACCATGTGGCGCTGGAGAACACACCGAATATAGGCCATGTTGTTGTATATCAATTGTAGACCACACCATTTCAATTTTATGTCAATCAAATGATTGCCAGACAAGGCTTATTTCCTATTGCCAGTAGGTGGCGCAGTGACTATGACACCTATTTAGCATGTTTCTTCTGACGTGAAGTTTGGGGCAGATTGGACAAGGTACGGTGGGGTTAAAAACCACTTCCTGTTTGATGGCAAAACATGGAAATTTAACCCTATGGGCCCTAGGTGTTTTTGGGGTATTTTTACTGCCTTTACTTCTAAGCTCATATCACAGTCATTATAAAGGCTACATACACATGCTATATCTTGTTTTTTTTTTCAGGACAATCTGGGCGAACCAGATTTGCCATCATTACATGTCCTTCTATGTGCCTGTATTTTATATTAATTTTTATATCAATGAAAAAAACTAATCCGTGTTACTAAATTCTTACATTTTTACATGTATCTCAGCATAGCAAGTTGGAAGAAGACATATTCTGCCATATATGAAGAGGGGAGACTCTCTGGAATCTGGCAATATAAGAACCATGATGGTGGGACATTCTGTCACTTCACAGCTGTCCAAAACATATGGTTTGTGCCAGGCAGACATGATTGCCAGTATTTTTCATTATTGCAAGAAATTCCATTGACTCATTCACAAGTCAAAAATGTGTTTTATCTGAAAGAAACATGCAATATTTACATCTAAAATCATAGAAAAATAGTCAACCAAGTGCAATGATGTCCTCCAAGATAATATTTGCCACTTTGTTTGCAGTAAACAAAGTCTGTTGTTGTTTTTCAGTTTCAGTTATATATTGGGGGGCATTTTGGGCATTGGGGGGCAATGTATATGGTGACTACGGCCCTGTCAGCATGCATAAATAGGCTACAGTTGTCTGGGTGCGCAAAGGTGAAGTGGCTGGTCTTGTCATACAAAGTTTGATGAAGTGTCAACTGGACAATATGGAGATATTTGCATCTTGAAAGCCGGACTACAAATGTGGATAGACAGGGAGAAACACACGCAAGCCTAAGACGTGGTAAGATACGATATTCCGATATTATAATGGACTGTGAAGAAATCCGTCAGGTTTTTATTTTGTAGACAATTGATCTGGATTTATAGCGTGATGGGATGACAGCACAATGATGTGTGTGGTATCACTGGAAAGCTCTAGTCCTGCGCTTTCATGTGACGTGTGGCATTTCTGTGCGAGCCTGCATTCGCGAGTAATCTATCCAAGAGTAATGTGTGTGCAAAGCTGTATGAAAGCTCTGTTATTCATGATTTTAGTGTAACTTTATCATTTTTTTTCGCCTTGAAGACATTGGACTACCGACAAGTGATTGGTCTTATCGGAAAGCTACAATTTCGCTGTTTCACGTGATATGGCTTCTCGCTATGACGCACGGTCGCGGAGAAAATCAATAGAGAAGAACAGGTGTGAATTTGGACACACTATGCGTCGTTTGGGCCCATAGGGTTAATGTCTTGCTACGGTCACATGGTTTGACGAAAACTTAAGCCTTCAACAACTTTTCATGTCAAAAGTCTTTAGATGGTACAGACAAAATTTGAAGTCAATCAGATTAAATCTCCAGGTGGAGTTTAAAAGTATGACCCCTGTAAATGACCAAAAATGGACAAAAATTGCACAGTAAATTCAAAATGGCTGACTTCCTGTTAAGTTTAGGGTATGAATCCAAGAAACTTTTTGTACGTGTGGACATCATACATGAGTACACTAAATTTCGCACATGTAGGTGAAACGTACAGTAAGGGTAAGTAGGGGGACTTCATTGAGTTTTTGTAGGGGCACAACTGAGCCACTTTTTTTACACCCAAGCATGAGACCCATAAAGTATAAAATTTTCATATTAACTTATTCACCAGTTCTGGTGTGTATGCAAAGTTTGGTGAGTTTTCAAGCACCTATAGTGGAAATGTGATTAATTTGAGGGAAAAATAATAATTCCTTCAGTTTCAATAGGGTCCTCACACCTGGTGCTCGGGCCCGAATAAATGGACCCGCACTTGTATAGCGTCTTTCTAGTCTTCCAACCACTCGAAGCACTTTTTACAATATGAGTCACATTCACCCATTCATGCACACATTCATACACTGGTGGCTAAGGCTACCATACAAGGTGCCACCTGCTACTCAGATTTTATCACACTCACACATCGATGGAACAGCCATCATGAGCTGAGGTTCAGTATCTTGCTCAAGGATACTTCAACATGTGGACTGGAGGAGCCTGGGATCAAACTTAACGGGTTACTGTCATAACCCTTTTATCTCGCCAGCTGCAGGGCTCATCAAACAAGCTGATAAAAATGAATTCATCAACCTGGTTTTCAGCCTTACACCTCTTCCTAACATATAGCAAACTCTGGCGGATGGAGCGTGAAAATTTGTCCAGATATACTACAAGTGACAACAACATTCAGGGAGCCTAATGAGTGAGCCTTGTTGTTGCTCTAAAAACAGGTTGGAGGTGAGTAAAGCTTTGCCAAAATACACAGGGCATAAAGTTTTTCAAACAAGCGACACTTTGCTTAGCATGTTTGCTGGTGCAGGTTAGGACATCTTCACTGGGAAAAGATGAAACAATTTGATGTTTGCCTATCCAGTTAGGAGGCGGTGTAAGTCTGCCAACAAACACATTGCAATTACTGCTTATTGCCCCAAGTGTTGCCAAAGAGAAAGAAAGAGAGTTCTTTGATATTTTTTTGAGGACTTCCAAGAACTCTTGAGTAAAAATACAAAAAAAGAGAGACCTCTTAGGGCACCCTGGTTGCATAAAACACAAAATTTTGCGAAGTGGTGGTTTGAATCTCACATTTAATGACTATCAAACCTCATTAAGTTCGAGTATTGACTAAAATGTGTCTGTTTTTACTACAACTTTCTCAAGTATTGTTTTGGTATTGGTAATGGAATGATAAAATACCCAGTCCCACTTTCAACAGTTTCATTTGTTTTAATTTATCCCAGTAAATAATATATCAGCAGGGCTGGTACCTGCCAAGAGCTGGCCATCAAAATAGATTAAAAGTGTGCAACACCTTTGCTGCATGTTGTTCCTTTTCTCATCACTCTCGATCTGCAATTCTACACCATATACTCATTGATGAATGAATACTGGCACAAAAATATGGAGGGAAGCCAAATCCCAACACCATTTCCATCAACCTCATCAGTCAAGCTGTAATACTCCTTCCTGACGGCACTCACCAGATCCAGTTTTTGCCTGCTGTCAGCTGGACCTGGGTTTTCTGAAGCGTAATGGTTTCTAAGAAAAATAAAGATACAACAGATATGGGAGGAAAAAATAAATAGCTGAATTATTACAATATAAAACACGTGTCAGCAAATTTCATCTCTCAGAAACAACCTATGCTGTTAGCAGTTAACAACAGTAAGCCAAAACGACATCACACGCAGTCAAAAATTCAACGTGAAAAAGCAAGTGCAGCTCCACTTGCTGTGTATCATAATGCATGTCATACAAATACATATTTGTGCATTTCAACAGCCCAATTGTGGGACCACATAATAATCCCTTTATTTATCTCAAAGTGTGTGTTGACAAAACTCACAGTCTGCTAGTCCTGAGTACAACCGTGAGGCAAGACTGCAGTCTAAAGGTGATCATCGTGATACTGTGCACTGCTTCTTCGCACTCCCTCCGCAACCTCATCCTGCGGGACAATAAAAGTGTGAGAGAGGAGAAGAGATTGATGACGATAATTACCTAGAATCAGTGCATAACCTTGGAGGTACATCGCTCAGTGCAGTATAACAAATAATCATTGTTTTAGCGTATGTGTGTGTGTTGGTCTCACATGTAGCTGTAGTATCCTTGCAGCAGCAGCTCTCGGTGTGTGTGCAGCAACTGTACTATCCTCAGATACTGGTGGACTACTCCCACTATTACCTGCAGAGAAGAGGGGGATTAAAGGAGATAATAAATAATAGGTGGGATGCTTAAAATACATAACATTTAAATACTGAACATAATGTTAGGCATGGGAGGCAAAGAAAATCAGCAGAGCAGCAGTACCTTGGAGAAGTTGTAGTCTACCATAACATCAAACCTGGATGGGATGACTGGTGTCTCTGCTACAGAGGAAAGAAAAACATACACTTAAATATGCGTACATGACTTATGGGAACAGTGTGTAAATGTGTGTGTGCTTGGGCATTAATATTTGTTGCATAATGCACTCATCTTCTGTATCCTTTCCTCACATCTGGGACTAGCATTCAGATTAATATTATGAAACAAAATCTGCATAAAACAGCTGAGTAGGTGTGATGCTGGGATACACCTCCTATCAAAACTCTTTCATATCTCCCTTGGGGAATATCACGGAATAAAAAAGAGGGAAGCCTGAGACTTCACAGGAACATATCAAACGTGTGCGTGTCTTTGATTGTCTTACGTTCTCTAAAGGGCAGGTTGGTATTTGCTTCAGGCTCGTAGCTGAGCAGAATGAGGGGCTGGGCAGGTGAAGTACGGGGGAGGTTGACCACCTTCATGCTGCCCTCCAGAGGGAGGTCATGACCCAGGTAGAGCAGATGTTGCAGCTGGACTCCTATACCAGTCTGAGATGCCACTTCCTCAAAGAATATTGACACCCTGAGAGGATTGAGGGGAGAGAGAAAGGGTTCCACTCTTATTTAGAGATCATTTTCCAGGACATTTTTAAAAATTCAGGTCTGATTCTGCTCCCTATCAATGTTTTAAGATCAGGGTCAGTGCTCTTGGTCACCGCTATAATTGTGATTCTGCAGGGACATCCATAATGCGCAGCGTAGATGTAATGGCCTTTAGTTTGCAATGTTTGAAGAGATATTGAAAGACTGCTCACATTTTCAATGTGCAACGGTGCGTGGAAAAAACACAGTACCCACTGGTAACTGTAATTACATAAAACTACAAACATATCGTGCCCCATTATCTAATTGTACTTTTTTAAAACTAAGATTAATCAATAAGGTCACATGATACATTTGACTGCCTCTACAGTCTATCAGACTTTGCTAACAACATTATCAAAGTCTGTTTAAGCCTGGTGGGCATAATTCAGGTTACAATCCAAACTGAGTTGTAGAAATGTTTGGTGTTTTTTTTTTTTTTTCATTCAAAACTAATTCCTGATTTACAACAATAAATAACTAAATTATCTGCAGCCATGAATCAGCTCACGTCAAAACATGTGCCTCTTCTTTGAAGGAGTATTATGCCCATAACTCTGTAGCTGCTTCACATTTTTAGCTGGTGGAATCATCAACTAATGACTCATGTCATCAATAACTTCCGTAACCTTTGACCAAACTAGCAACATCCCACCTGACACTTCCTCATTTGCATGGATACACTTTGTTCTAAAACCCCGCCTACTCTTGTACCATGCCATCAGGTACACAAAAACACCAAATGAACAGGGAAAGCACATTTAAAGGTCAAGAAAATTCATCTTGCATAATCTCTGTGCAGCCATTAAAATAAAACCATTGTTCCTCCTTTCATTATGTGGCTCCAATTACAAAATTTAGGTCAGTACAAATACAGATAAAATTCTACAGTTTTCAAAATTCTAATTTTGGAAGATAAAACATGACATGAGCAAGTTGCAGCATCCTTGTCATCTGTCCTTCAGGTTTTACTGACTCTTTAAGTGTGTCACTCCTGCAGAATGAACTAGAAATCTAGTCTGACAATTACAAACAAATGCATTTTACTTTAGGCAGTCATGTTTTAAATCCTTCCTGCTTCGTTTTAGTCTGCTCAGAATAACGTGTGTGACGATATACCCGTGCAGACTTACGTGTTGTAGTGGTGTATGTAGATGCAATGCGCCATGGCCTGTTGCAGAGAGAAGAGGTGAACTGGCTGCCTCTGCAGTATGTCTGTGGTGGCCGTGAAGAACTGGTCAAAACCCCAACACCTCTCCTGGTCAGCCTCCAGTATACCTGCCAGTACTGGAACCAGCAGCACCCTCAGACCCCTACAGTCAGAGAGGGGGCAGAATGGGAGAGAAATACATGGAGACAATCGAGGAAGAGTTAGCATCATGTAATCTCATTAAAGAGTCACTGAGATACATGTTCAAATGCTCTACATACTGTGAGAGCTGGCAGCTGTGAGGTAGGTGGTAGCTCCACTCTATAGGCCCATCCTCCACCCGCTGTATTCCAGCTATTGCCCCCATAGGCTTTTCTGTGGTTATTTTGAACCTACACAACAAAACACACAAGTCAGGCTGATGGATCATTGATGGATGTTCATGTTCTGGCGGATACCCCAGGATTCCTGAAGAAACAGCATTCATGATTCCATGGTGATATGCTTTCCAGTATGTATCATGGCTGGTGTTAATGGAGCTTAAAAGAGGCATTTTGAGATCTAATGCAAAAATAATTAAAACTGGTATAATTACTTCATTAGCTATGGTTGAAGGACTTTAAAACTCAGTGTTGCTAACAGAAATGTCTGGTCTGTGATTAACCCTCTCACACCTAATTTATTAACTTACATGGTGGGCTTGTTCCTGCGTGGTCCCCCGAACGGTGCGAAGGGAAGACTCCCGGCGGCAGCGTGGTAAAACGTCACACCAATACTCCACAGGTCCACATTCACACCGTAGGACTTGTGATGAGGCTTACGCAACACAGCGCGTTCATACATGTCTGGGTGCTACACAAACACACACACAAACACACAGACACACACAAACATATGCAGAGTAAGAAGAGAGGACACAAGCAAGACATGTTTATCCCCAGGTCTCTGTCTTTTTATCAGGGAACATCATGTTAAATTCAGTCGTACAGAAATGTTTACAGTGAAGTTGTTTTCGTGAATAGCCCCATTTGTCCACTAGAGGGCCATCCAGTCTTGATAATACAAACTGCTTCCAGGTATCAAGCTCTAAGCTCCACAGGGCCTGTCTCACAAAGTCATTTCAATGCAATCACTAACGCTGGTAGGATAATTTTTACATCTGGTGGCGTTTATAACAAAACCACCAATCACATACAGCACATAGAAATTCAGATCAGAGTTTAGATGATCAGCGATCCTCATGGGGAAATGGGCCTGTGTAGCAGTCATGGTAATATGATTTAGTATGAAAGACTGGTTATAGACTGTAAGCAAACAACCAGGGTGCAAATGAAAGCACCTGAATGAATGGGAATAGTATGGAGTATACTGATTGCACCTTTGACTGTAAAATAAAATGGGTACTGTTAAAAAATGTATTACACATAGTATTGCATATGCTTTCTTTTCTAAAGAACAAGCTACTATTACAACAATGAAAAGAAATGCTGTTTCTGCTTCCAAGCCTCGAGAACGTGAAGGGAAACTGACCTGATAGAGGAGGTTACAAAATGTGCAATAATCTTAAAACTGTCAATCTAAAGGATGCACTGAGCATACTTTTTTTATTGATACAATATTATTTCATCAATTTCTTCTATTTTACTTTGATGTCTTTATTTATCCAGGGCATTGGGTGAGCCTTAATACACTTTTCAGCAATGTCCCCATCCACTGAGGCAGTAAAAAGATTTTCTGCTCATAACGTCCCCTTGTGTTCTTTAAGGCGGCAGTAATGGAATATAAATGTGACAGGCTATGTTAAGAGTGCCTGCAGGCTAACCTGTAGTAAAGATGATATCTCTGTGCACACCACACGGTGGAGACAAATCTCTATAAGACAACTGCTCAGACATCAAAGTGGTTGGAAATGTCATTTCCACCAGTGGGTTTTATGGGTGTCTGTTTTGTTGTGTATTACCTTCACCAAGTGGGTTATGCTATCAGACTCGTTTCTTGTTCAGCTGTCAGGAAATATCAAAAAGTAATTTCTGACTGCATATCCCCTGGTTGCACAAAACCCAGGCTTATTAAGTTTATTCATGGGACTGTTATCTTACCAGATACTCTTCAGTTCCGTAGATAGACACAAACTTCTCATCATCTTCCAGCTCTCTTGCTGCCCCAAAGTCAGTCAGCTTATAAACAGACTTGCCGTCCTCCCCGACCTGCCGCATGATGTTGCCTGGCTTAATGTCCCGGTGCACCACTCCATTTTCGCGCAGGTGGTTCATCCCTTGCACTGAAGAGAAGAAAGCAAGAAAACTTCAGTTTAGGTATATGAGATTGTTGGGGAAATACCAAGATATACACCCACCTACCCACCTACACACTGCAAGACTGTGAGGAACTCTGTTTCAGGCAGGCCGAAGGCATTTTCTGGCTCCTCTAGCAGGCTGAGCAGACTTCCCCCTGAACAATACTCCATCACCAGTACCTTCTGTTTAGATGGGAGCTAGAGGGAGACATTTTATTTTATTATTTGTTTATTTCGCACCATTGCACAAGACAATAGGAAAAAACAAAAAATGGCCATCACAAAATAAAGGTGCTGAGCAGAGGCAAGAGATCCAGATGGGCCTATACGGGGCCTCAGCTCCTTAAATACAGTACATCACCAATTCAACACAAGAGCCTAAAGCAAAGTGAACATAAAAAACATCAAAAAAAATTCATAACATTGAATACTGGAATTTGGTATGAAAAAAATATGGAAAACAGCAGGAAAATAATCAACCTTTTCAATACAGTTAAACATAAAAATACATGTCTGATACACATTAATATAAAAAATTGATAACATCTTAAGTTGCCTAAAAAGAGGAGCAGATGGTTCAGAGTGAGTAGAAGTAGTGGCAAGCCTTATGAATTTCTTTTGCAACAAAAAAAGTTTGTGAAGAGAAGTAGGAAATGTACTGGCCCATATAATATTACAATAAGATAAATATGGGTATATTAAACTGTAATACAATGTCAGAAGACTGGAGCGATTCACTAAAGAAGAAATCATTCTAATTATGCCATAAGACTTTATACTTTTTTGCACACAAGCCCAATATGGCTTTTCCATGTAAGGCCTTCATAAACAATAACACCTAAAAATTTGGCATGAGAGACCTGTTTAATTTCAATGTCACTGATAAATAATTTAGAGTCTTGTTTTGAATAATTTTTGTTTTTTTTGTCTGAAAATCATATAATTGGATTTGTTGATATTTAAGGAAAGCCTATTCATCTGAAATTATCTCGAGGTTTGTGCAAGTATAGTATTTGCATCTTTAATCAGGGAACCGAAGTCAGAATGTGAAAAACTATATTTGTCATTAGCGAAAATAATGGGCAGTGCGGTATCAAACTGTACAGCAAAATCATTTATAAAAATCAAAAACAGAAGAGGCCCAAGAATTGAACCTTGTGGTACACCACGAGAAACCACAGTTCTATTGGAATTCATACCCTCTATACAAACATATTGCTGCCGGTTGCTGAGATAATCTCTAAGCCAATGGATAACAACATCCTGAAAACCATAACGAACAAGTTTGGATATTAGGATACTATGATCAACTGTATCAAAGGCTTTCAATAAATCCAGAAAAATGCCAATTGCAAACTTATCGTCATTTAATGCTTCATAAATTTTGTGAGCAAGTTGAAGGAGAGCCATATAGGTCGAGTGATTTTTACGAAATCCATATTGGTGCTTATACAGGATGTTGTTGTCATTAAGATGTTTCAACACTCTTGCATAGACCAACTTCTCCAAAACCTTGGAGAAGCAGGGTAAAATTGATATAGGACGGTAATTATTGAAGAGACAAGGATCACCTTCTTTGAAAAGCAGAAGTACCTTAGCTACTTTCAAGTCATTCGGGACTACACCAGTTTTCAAAGAGACAGCAAGTACATGTGTTAACGGCATACATGTGTTAACACATTAGGAGGTGAGCTGCAACTCCTTCAACTCTGTAAACATTATGATGTGGAAGAATTCAATGATAGATGCTAGAAAACATATAACTCAGAGAGGGAAGGGAATGGGGTGGCTTTGCCTCAGGAGGTAAAGTGGGTCATCCACTAGTCGGAAGATTGGTGGTGTGATCTGTGATGGAACTCCTCCAGCTTGAGCAGGATACTGAACCCCATATGGCGTGTGTGTGTGTTAAAGAAAAAGAACTGAGAAGCAGGTGGCACCCTGTGTGGTAGCCTCGGCCATCAGCGTATGAGTGTGTGTGTGTGAATATGACTCATAGTGTAAAAAGTGCTTTGAGTGGTCGGAAGAATAGAACGGCGATGTACAAGTGCAGTCCATTTACCATTTCAATTACCAAGTGACTGAGAATGTATGTGTTAATGTATTAAGAAAGCTATCTTTCCATTGTCCCAAGGGACAGAGTGTTTGCTGTCAGGGCCCCGAGGAGCTGGAACAGTCCGCCCGAGGAAATCAGGTCAGCCGAGTCAGTGATCTCTTTAAGTTCCTTCTTAAAATATACTTTTATCGGAGCGCCTTCCCTGAATTTACTTGAGTTTTAAGTTTATTTAGACTGTCTTTTATTTCTTCAGTCTTTATACACTTAAGTGTTTTTATCAGTTCTTTTAAAAGTTGTTGTTTTTATGTCTTGATTGTGTTAATTATTGATATGTGACGCACTTGTTATCATTATTATTATTGTTTAACAGTGTAGGACCAAGTGTAGAAATGCTTTCCTATTCCATGTTCCAAATGAATTTGAAATAAAGCTGCAGCTCTGTTTTACACAGTGATACATATCCCACCACATGGCTGGAGTTTCCCTTGTCTTCCCTGCTCTCATGGTGGCCTTACCTCTTCCACAGCATACAGCCTGACAATATTGCTGTGGTTGAGCTTCCTCAGCATCTCAAACTCTCTCATCTGGACCTCATGGGGGCGGTTGTAGCTCACTGTGTTGAACACCTTGACGGCTACCAGCTCACCCGACCTCTGCACATGCACAAACACACACATTCACATCAGCTAACAAGTCACACAGCACCATGTCAGAACATCAAAGCCAGCACACATCAGCACTGCAGCCACAACCTTTTCTTATCACACTTCCTGGTGTTGCTTTTCAGCCAGTGAGTAGGCTGAAGCATCTGCGATAAATGGCAAGAGTGATGTGAATAAGCTGCTCAGTGGAAAAAACAACAACTTGACAGTGTGTTATGATGATAAGAATCATCCACAGGCTGACTACCTTGTTGCGAGCCTTGTAGACACTGGCAGTGGCCCCTTGACCGAGGACATCTTGTAAAGACCACAGGTAGTTTGTTGTGCTGGCTGTAATACCTGACATGCTGGGGGGGGGACAGAGACAATAATTAGACAGAGAATTAGAAAAACATTGACAGAGACAAGTCCTCTTTGTCCTTAAAAACAAGACACATTAGATAGGAAATAAACAATAAAGTAGCCACATATTAGCTGTTAGGTAACGTTAGGTAAGTACGGTACAATAGACAAACTTTAAGTTACCATAGAGAGTAAAGCTAAATTTGTTATGTCATAGAGATGTCAACAGTTGACCTACATAGTTGGCTAGGTGTGCTCTGGTTACTTTTATTTAGCATTACTTTAATTTAACAGACAGACAGCAAGTTAACGGCGTACTGTAATAAAACAATTTATTACTAACAACTATTTATGTTAGTTAACCACTTTAGTAAGCTTTTAGCGAGTCCGTGTCACTAACTGAAAAGTTAAGTTAGCCGTACTGTTAGCTTACCTGAGCTGCTGCTGCAGTTAGCCGGACTCTGGTGAATCCGTCCTGACAGCTGTGCCTCGACCGGTTCTCCCACTACACAGCTGGTTTTCCCGTGGAATATGGCGTCACAATAAACGTCTGTCTTGTCAGTTACAGCTCAAACTGCTCCGGAGCATTACGGTAAGTCAAACTTACTTGAAAGCAAAATACGCCCACACGAGCCAAGTCTTCCGTAGCGAGCGAAAGCAGCTGCACACAGAGCTGGGCAGGTACGGTGCAGGCAGGCAAAACAGCTTCCCTATGTTTCCGTCTTACGTGTAGCCAAAGAGTTAATGAGTTTCAATAATAGTAGCAGCCGGCAGCAAGGCATTGCCGTGACTGTTTTAGGAAGTGTGGACTTCACAGTCTATACTCATAAATGATGGCGGAAATAACAGCGAAGTGCAATCTTGACAGTTTTCACTCTGTCTGAACTTCCGCCTGTGTCTCAGTGTATATGAGAGCAGGCTACACTGATGGCACACAGCCCTACATCACATTACACTGAGGCAGAGAAATATTGCATATATTCTGTTCCTAGTTTCGATTTGAGTTAAGTTTTATCCCGGAGAAGAGGCCCCTGGGGTCCCTGAGGCCCCTGAGGTCCCTGTGGGTGCTCAGACCCATGCTGGGAACCTCTATGTCAAAGAGTAACTACAGCTGAATCTCCACCCTACTATTCCCAATCCCTTTGTGCAATAACTGCTGTGTTTGACTATTTTTCATCATATATCTACTACTAATCATATATCTTAAAAATATAGATATGAATGTGTGTGTGTGTGTGTGTGTGTGACCATGTGAAGGATGTGATCAGCAAGTGTGTGTCAGTGAATATCTGAGTGTGTGTTGGTACATGTGTACACATTTATATGCTGCTAACCAGACTGCTCTAACAGAGTTTTGTTACAATAAAGGATCTATCTATCTATCTATCTATCTATCTATTTGGAAGGACAACTGTTGTTTCCCCAAGATACCTTTGAACCATCAGACCCTGAACTGACTTTTTAGAGTTTGTTTTATCCCTATTTAGAGATTCATCATTTTTATTTCTAATTATTTAACCCACCTGTGTTTTCATCATAAATGTGAAGAATCAGATATGATTGTGTTCCCACGTCCCTGTAGAGTCAACATAAGTGCTGTCATCACGTCCTTTTAGTTGTTCCATTAATGTTGCCAGGATTTGTCTCTGATATATCTGCAGTGTCGCCCCCCTGCTGTTCAGCATGACAGACAAATTCCCAAATTTGATCTGTAACTGGTAGAAAAGATTTCCACACACTTACATCTACGCAGATCTATCTATGTGAGGAAATATTTTCTACCAGTTTGGACTTGATGTTTCCAGCGCCTTGCCAAGACCAAGCTGGGTGGAGCGGTGGTTGTTCTGCATGAGCACATATTCGATCTGTAAGATCTAATTGATACCAGTCAGTTTATAAACCACCTCAAAGTGTATGTGATCTGATACTAGTGCACTCTGTTCCCCGACTTAAAATCTGCACTGTTTGGAAGTCATTGAAATCTTGAAGGTGTAGCCTATTTTAGAGTCAGGCGGGCGATTTAAGATGTTTATTTTCTTAATTACAGTGAGTAAATGATAATATAGATCAATATTATTTAATGTTTATATATGGTTTTGTATCTGACCAACCCTTTCCATGTTCACTGTCTGTTGCTACAGACACTGTACAATGTGTCTACCTGTTTGTCTGCGTGTCAGTTATTAGTTGCCTGACAAGATTCACTCATAGCTTTGTTCTGTTGAAGGGGAACTCCACCAAGTTCAACTAACTCGACATGATGCATGCTACTTAGCCTGTAAGTGTAACGGTGGGAGCTTTCTGAAGTTTAAAAAACATAACCCTGATGATGTCATTAGGGGTTTTTTTTCTATTTTTTATCTCAGACTCAGCCTAGGACTATGTATTTTTAAAAGAAACCCTGCATTACAAACTTGAGGTGTGTTGTTTTAAAAAAGTAGGCATTTAGGAGACGAAGAGGGTCTACTGAAAGATGCTATTGAAGTTGCATCATGGGAAATGTAGGATTGAGTACTTTTGGAGTTTAAATCTGTCTCATCTGTCTATCATTATTTATATCGATATTTCATGGATGATTTTCTGTAATGAAATGCCAGTTTTCTTATCATAAACATCAAACAAGACTCTTTATAGCAAGCAATGTTTATTAAAAAACAGATCTACTACAAGAACTACACATAGAATTATATAAGGCCTATTTGATTAAACTACTATTGCTATTACTGTACAATATTGTACCAAAAAAGAGTGTACCTCTGTAATGTACAACATTGTATATACAAAGTACATCTGAACACAGGATTCTCCAGTAATACAGAGACAACTATAAATAGATTTGACATTACAGTCTTTTTTTTTTTTTTTAGTTCTGCTGTTTTCAAATGGACACAAAAATGCATATTCAACAATATTCAATTCCGACAAATCATCCCCACACAGTTAGTCCACACGCAAGCCAAGTTGTTCAAGTGCACGATGATTGATTTGAGATCGAAGAGGGTCCCAGCTCCCCTTTGACGGCACAGCCGGGACAAAACACACCAACCAACCACATGCATGTTTGTATGTCGATGAGGTGAGTTTGTTTCTCACCACACACACGGTCACAGTCCCTCCAGTTGTCACGATGAGGTAAAAGCAACACAAATACACCAGGTAATACACGAACAGTATACAGAGATAAAAAATAAACCTTAACAAGTATAATTCATTACCTGGTAGAGAGCATACAGGAATGCAGTATGTGCTGTGTTTCTGGGGGAAAGGGGGGAGGCGTGATGGGAATATGTGAAGCAAAAATTAGTTCAATACTGTTTCAAGAAACAACAAACAAGGTGTTATTCAGTTTACCCTGAATGGTATGTGTCCACTTTTGACGTCAGTGTTTGCAAATGTATTCACATATTCCTCAATTCAACATCAGATCTAATTTTAGGATACATTTTAGCAAATAATATATGAATATATATATAAAAGTTTTGGAGCTTCTCGTCCTCTTTCTACTTAAAGCTGGTCGGCCACGAGACGAGACATGTCATGTATCCCTGCAGGCTTTTTATCTGGTCACATGTACACAGTGCATATTTATTCAGCGCTGAGGCTGCTGGTACAGTCGCTGTTGGGTGGCGTCCCTTTATGATGGGTGGTCAAGGGGTGAGGGGGGTGAGGCGCATACACACTCTACATCCACGCATGCTCACACAGGCGCACACACACACACCCAGACAGCTACACAGTTCAACATTTTAACCTTTACAGATTCTGAGCATTACTTAACAACTGGGAACGAAAAGAGAGTAACAACAAAAGCAAACTTTGCTTAAGAACGCATCGGATGAGGTGGTTGGTTGTGCTTCTATCTAAACACACTCAAGAGGATCCTCAGCTCCATGCTTCCAGTTATCATGATTATTAAACATACATACACACCATTAGAATAATATAACCCTTTTTTTTACTGTTAAGTCTGAAGTATATAGTTAAAGGAGCAAGCTGTGACTTGTGTTTGAAGTTGTTTAGTGGCTGGTACTGCGAGATATATAAAGTGAGCCAGCTCGCCATAGCGGCTGCTGTCTATGGCCCCAGCATGCAAGGAAAACCTGAAAGGTGTTTAGCTGCCACAAAACACCACCACACACACACATTTGGAGAGAATGTGTGTGCTTGTGTGTGTGTACAGTCCAACATTACGTATAAAAATGCTGGGTTTCAGTGGTCCCCTACACACGTAATAGAGCTGCAGGAGAGAAGCAGCATAATGCCTCAAACTACCAGCTTTCTGTATTGCTTTATATGTGTATTCAGAATTACTATTGGCCATGTTAGGTTTTGGAGAACACTGTTCCTGCTATGCTCCTGTTGTGGGACTAGTACTGAACAGTAATTTAAAAAAAAAAAATCACCAAAATATCAAACACTGGAGGAAGAGATAAAATAAAGCTCTCGATCACATGACTTACACTGATATTTTCTTTCCTTTCATCATCTCAAAAGTCCACCTTTATCTCCAGCCTTCCACTTCTGAAGCAGCGAGTCAGTGTGTTTTCGTTTCTATGCCGAGAGAGAGCTTAGCATTTCACAGTCTATTCTCAGGAATCAAACACTCCCTTCCAGTCCGCTAGTCGTGGGTCATTAAAAAGAAGAAGAGAAAAAAAAAACTGTCATGTCTACTATACAAAAATCAAACAGTGCTTTTTGTTTCTCACTTAGATCTGTGTGTAAAGGCAAGTAACACTCCTGCACACCCACTCAAACACAATTTCAAACATCACAAACTAGTGTATGTAAGCTGAAGGTCAGTAGGAGTCCTGTTCCCTTGTAAATAAAAAAAAAAAAAAAAAAGTAAATCCAGTGATGCCTGGGATCTCTGCGGTGGCAAAAGAAGTGTCTCTGAGCGATGATCGCTAAACTGCGCCATCTGATAGTTGACCTGTCGTAAGCAGAGCTGCCAGGAGAGGGCTGAAAAAAATCTTGACACTCTAAAGGGAACATGGTGTCTTAAGAACTCGCCTGGACACCATGAAGTGAATGCTACACATGAGTAGTGGGTTAGGTCTTGTGTGAAACAACGAAGTGCTTTCTGCACCTGCTAGAAGAGCCGTAAGAATTTGCAAGAATCAGCAAGGTGGGTCAGAGCGAGAAGTCCTAAGCCGGGCAGGATTTGTCGTTAGACTGGGGTGGAGGTGGAGGAGGAGGGGTGTGAGGGAGAGAGTGTGTGTGGCCTGACAGTGGAGGGGGAGGCGTCGGGGGCACAGTAGAGGTTGGGGAACCCATGGCTGGACTGCCACCTCCGCTCTTTGGGAACACCACCGGCTTGGGCCTTGTCGCTGGGGGGCGAAGCTCTCTAAAGGAGGGTACAGATGAGGAGAGGGAGGAGGAGGAGAGAGAGGGGGATGTGGCGGAGGGCAGGGGGCTCCGCGGCTGGCTCTTAGCCGGGCGGAAGGAGGAGGGCACGTCGCTTGCGGAGGAGGCGCTGCGCTGCAGTGGGTGGGCATGTGAGGAGCCCCCCTCGCTGTCCCGTAACAGACGGGAGTGGAGTGGACTGGAGGGCTCCGAGGCTCCTCCTCCTCCTCCTCCTCCTCCTCCGCCACTCACACCTTTTAGCTGCTCCAGTGTATCCAGGACCACATCGGGGGTGTGTGTGTGTTTCGAGGTGCTCTGTCTCTCCAACTTACTGAGCTCACTCATCGCAGCCTCGATATCCTGCAACATGAAAGGCAGACAGAAACATATTATCTTGTGCATGCAAATACCCAAAGTAGCAGATGGGGATATAAGCGACCTAACACGCACCTGTGAGCTGGGCTCCACCTGGGCTATGACCTCAGGGTCCAGTGGTCTGTGGTTGCTGAAGCTCTTG